CGGGGGTTCAAATCCCTAGCCCTCTCTAATGGAGTGAGCTCCTGTTACTTGTCCCAGCTTCTGCCAACCTAGCAGTTCAAAAGCACATAAAAATCCAAGTAGAAAGATAGGAACCACCTTTGGTGGGAAGGTAACAGTGTTCAATGTGCCTTTGGCATTTAGTCATGCCAGCCACATGACCACAAAGATGTCTTCGGACAACACTTGCTCTTTAGCTTTGAAACAGAGATAAGCACTGCCCCCTAGAGTCAGGAACGACTAACACATATGTTATGTCTACCTTTACCTTAAGCTGCCTATTTGTGAGTTGGGTGGCTGTATATTTATTTGGTCAACAAATAAATTATTACTGTTGTTTCTTTGATGGTAGTCCTAAAGGTCCTAAAGTAAAGCATGTACAGGATATATAGCAGAATATGTGTAAGATGGATTGGCTTGTCTTGCTTTGACCATATCTGAGCATGAGCAAGATCTCAGAGTGACATATAAGGTCATTTTTGCTGCACTGCAGCAAGCTTGGCTTTTGTTTTTGTTTTTTTTTTAATTCAGCTTAGTTTTCCTGAGTTGGTAATTTGCCTGCACTAAATAATTCAAGTCAGCAGAGGGAGCAACCATTTTGCAGCAAGAGACAGAATAATCTTTGCATGAAAACAGAAAATTGAGGAGTTTCACATTTTTATGTATGCAATTACATATCCAAGAGTTCAATAAATTTGCTTATTTTTACAATGCCAAAATTGTTTTAAGAAATAAGACAATACGCGCTAGTTGGATGTTTTAAGAAGATAGCAGGAAGGGCTACAGAAATGAATTGCGCTTCCTCTTACTACATATCTAATATGATTTCTAATTTGTACAATTGTAGAATAGGCAAATGCTGTTATTTTCCTCCTTTTTTGAACTTTACAAAAATTAGCAAAGCAAATTATTGATTTACAGGATGCCTTATATAATTCTACTACTTTTTTTTCCCCTTTCCACTCATTCATGTAAATATTTCTTCCATTCAATCATGTCCAACTCTCACAGCCTGCCTGGACATGTCCCTGCAGTTTTCTTGGCAAAGTTTTTCAGAAGTGGTTTGCCATTGCCTCCTTCCCAGATTTTTGAGAAAGTGACTGTGCCAAAATCACCCTTCTGGCTTTGTGCCTAAGGAAGGACCAGAGAGTCTTCCAGTTTCTAGCCTGATGTCTTTTACCATTACATGAAACAGACTTGCATAAAAACTTAATAAATTCTGTAACGCTACTCTAGTCAGAATTATGGGGTATCTATTAAAAATATATTAGGAAGAAAATATGTAATGGAAGTCATTGATCAGTCAATAATAGGTAGGGGAAGGTACTGATTGATAAAAATGAAAGTAACTTGACATTTTTGTGAAGAACTGCTGTTTACCCCAACTCAAATCTCTAGCCAAAGTTGCTAGTCAAAATGGTTCTTTCTCTTCCTATATTGTTGTTATATTTCAAATTTTCTTATTTGGTTAGACAGAAATAAATTACTTTTGACTGCATCTCTGAAGAAAAATTCAGCCAATTTTCATGGGGCTTGATTTTTTAAAAGATTTTTTTAAAAAAATCCCCCCTCCCTTTATTATTTTTATATATAACTCAAAACAGAGAACACATCTATTACTCCTTCCTCCTCCTATTTTTCCCATAACAACCACTCTGTGAGGTGGGTTGGGATGAAAAAGTGTGACTTGTGCAGAATCTCCCAGTCAGATTTCTTACCTAATATAAGACAAGAACATTTGTATTTACTGTATCTTAATAATAAAGTGGCTCAGGGACATTCTAAATTCTAAAGTAAGTTCTTTTGCAATCTACCCATAGCCTCACTGAGTTCCCACCTTGCATCTAAAGGCAACATATCAAGAGGGGACTATTTTTTTTATATAGCAGAAAGCATGGATAACACTATAAACTACAAAATGTTGGGGCCATATACAGCACAAAATGCTATAAAGAAATACATACATTATTATTTAAAACAATTTAGAACTAAGAAAAATGCCCTTTAGCATTTTGCAGCAGTAAACTAAAAAATAAAATAAATCTGGTTCACTAAGGGTGAACTAAAAAAAAAGTAGAAGAACCTTTTGCAGGGAAAAATAATTTATGGAACTTTTTAAAAAGTTAAATTAAAATATAGATTGACACAGTATTGATTTATTTTTATTTTAAAAACATATGTATTACACCTTTAAAATTCAACTTTTTCTCAGAATGATTTACTAACATCATTTTTCCTTTTGCATTTCTGTTCCTGAGCACACATGTATCAACTCAGTAAACCTTCAAACTGAGTAGTATTCATGTTTAGGTATCAGAAGATACACTCCATTTGTATATGCAATATATTCTTAGTTAGGAAATTCTTTTCCAGCTGTTTTAAAAGAGTGAGTGCTTTTAATGCACACACACACAGAGAGAGAGAGAGAGCGAGAGAGAGAGAGAGCGAGAGAGAGAGAGAGAGAGAGAGAGA